CACTAGAGAAAAAACACTCATGGCCAAAGAAGACGAAATGTATATTGCATTCGGTTACATTATTTACTCACTGTCGCTGGTGCTATCAGTGGCAGGAAACTGCCTCGTTCTTTTTGTTTGCTACCGTTCAATAAAGAGGCAAGGGTGTTTACTAAAATGGTTCATAGCCAATCTAGCCGTCGCTGATCTAACGTTTGCATTGTTGTCTATACTAGACGCGATAGCCGATCACTGGACCTGGGTTGGAGGAAAGATCACTTGTAAGCTGCAAAGTTTCTTCATAGAAGCCTGTTATACATTATCCATAACAACCCTTTCTCTTATAAGCTTTGAGCGACTCAAGGCTGTTGTTGAACCATTTCGACGAATAGCGATTACTACGAAGAGTGTATACAGAAAATTGATTATCTCGTGGATTGTTAGCTTGCTTTTTGCCTCACCCTTACTTTATGCCTACCAGACGCAAGCTAACAACGAAGGAACAATTCTCTGCACCAACGACACGCTTGGAGATTTGGGAAGACAAATCTACTACAGTATTCATGCCATTGGTTTTTTCCTGGGTCCTCTCATCTTCATGATTTATGCCCAGGCTAAAATCTTCTCAACTCTGCGCTCTAGCGCAAAGGTTTCTCCCAGAAAAAATACTTTTACAGCTATGCGTTCCAGACAGCATCTAAAGGTCGCCAAACCTCTAGCAGCTCTTACATTAGCGTTTGCAGCTTGCTGGTCGCCCTTTTTCTTTGTTCGAGCGTTGAGATACTTTCACGTAACAAACGACGAGTACATGTGGAGAGCAACGCAATTTTTGATATTTTTGAACACGTTATTAGATCCAATAATTTATGGTATCTACAGAGAGCGCGAGAATGTTAAAGCAGTTTTCAAACTCTTATTCTCCTGTGCAAATATTTAGACTACTGCACGAGTACCGTGAGGACACAAAAACTGTAAAATACTGAGCCTGTAATCTCAATTTTGGCAACACGTTGCCAATTCTTTTATTTTGATGTGGTGAAGAGTGGTATTGGTGATAAATAGCATAAGGAAATGTTGTTTTCAGGTAGCACGGCCGAAATCGACCTGTGACAAGTCTTCCAACCGTCAATTTTCGTTCTCAGCAGCGAGTAATACCATGACCAACGCCACAGAATACGTAACTTTCGGTTTTTCTTTTCGTATTTTGGTTTTCTTCCCTTCTAGAAACTTTTGAACGTCACTGTCTGTAAGCGATACGAAGTTTTCAGTGTTTTGGCAGCCATCATCCGAGGAAAACCTTGGATTGAGATTGATGAAGGTTTTGCTATTCATTCATTAACATGACAGAGTGGTGCGAAAAGCTAGTGACGCGTCAGCAGCTAATTAGTAATATCCAACACACGTGAACATTATCGTATTTTTTACGTGTGTCGTTGCGGCTTTCTCAGGGCTGGAAATCCTTGTATAATATTAAAAAATTGTTACTTTGGCGCTGTTACCCTGTTACAGAATTGTCGCGAATTTTACCAAACGTTTCAAAGGCTGTTATTGTCCGTTAAGAGATAGATTCCTGATAATAACGACAACTTGGTGGCAGCCCAAAATTATAGACTAAATAAAGCAAAAAAGAAATACCTGTTGGCAAAAGAGTTAGACTTTTTAATGGTCAATATGTCCTTACACTGACCTCAGATAATGATAGCTTTGATTTTATGGCTAGTTTAACTGCTATGACTTCTAAATAAGATCGAATTGGGAAGTTACCGTATGTCTGAGCTATAGGGACAAATGTAAGTGACCAACATTTGCGTCATTGCTGAGGGACCTTAAAACTGTTTTTACCTGTTGGTTATTTACTACTTCAGATCCGATAGTACATCTTTTAAATGTCATTTGCGTTAAATATGTGTTTTTTCTGACTCCAGCTTATAAAAAACGCAAAATTGAACAGATTACATATACGTGTATCTTCAATTTGCTGCCAGTGTCATCACGCATCTTTGCCGGCTTACCAGCAAGGTACAAAAAAAAAACACTAACTACAAATGATAGTGAGTTGTTTATTTGGTGAGTGGATGCCCTTTGGCAGACAAACAAAGACACGGGTATGCTGTCTCAGAGTCTCAAACACTGATTGATCTATGAAAAAGACACCTTTCCCAAGAAACGTTGTTGTTCATAATGGCTGTAAACATATGAAAATCATATGTGTCCACTGCGGTTGAAGAAACGAATTTAGAATCGATCCTCGCAGTTATGAACACTACTGAACTAGTACTAGAAATAAGGCCTGAAAAAAATTCAGGTAAGTACGGGATTTGAACCCATAACCTTTGCGATACCGGTGCAGAGTTCTACCAACTGAGCTAACAAGCCTCTGCGGTATCGCCTCCTCTTTTGAGGCTGCAAAAGCTATATTTACCAGAAATATGGGATGAACACAGCAAAGTAATATTTTCTAGACCTGTTGTCGGCCCTGTTGCCTGGGTTTATACTTTACCTAGTGTTAGCACCTTTTTTCACCACCTTTTTGTGGTCACCGTAAGTATCACCAGAATATGATTAGATACAATTCGTATTAAGAAATGTACAAATTTTGACATGCTGGCAGGGATTATACTCCATTGACAGCTGTTTTATTCACAGGTGTTCTGTGTTTGTCGAAAAAGGTTAGTTGGAGAGAATAATATTTTTATTTTGTTGAAAAATTACTTCTCTTGTATACATAACTATTTATCTCTCATACCTCTTATGGTTCTTAGTTTCATGAAGGGAGCTTTGTATGTAATTATATCAGCTGCTAAGGGCTGTATAGTGAGTGTATCTCAAATAAGCAATTGGAACCATCCAGGATTATGTTTGCATTGTTTCGGCCCTAAGAGGTGCTCTCCTTTGACACTATATGCGAGCTAAATCAGTCACCTTTTGTTAACCTAATGTAAAGATACGAAATGGCGCAAGTGAGACCATTTTATATCATACCACTAATTTTAGTCCCTTGTAGCCTGCAGAGCAGGCGTAATTTTGACGAGCAAGTGCTCAGTATTTACGAATATATATATATATACGAAAATTAAATTGGGGAGAGAAAAGAAGTTTGTAACAAGGGGGCGGTCGACGGTCAAAAATATGGAGAGGGTTGGGGGTGGGGAAATGAAGATTGCGCCTACCCGAAGTCACTGTTAGTTGCAAAACTCCGTTCGTGGGAGTTCCTGATTGGTGTGTTTAGGCTCCAGCTATCAATCACTAGCCAAATTTGTCATTCTGACACTTTGCCCGTGCGGGAGAAAGACTGAAAGACGGCGAACTCTGAATGTGAAGTTATTAGTTTCGATTCCGCTCTCGAGGAAGCACTTGAGTATCCTTCGGAATTTAATATGTCTCGCGCATTAAAATCAGAACAAAAAGAAGCAATTTCTACACTGGTTTCTGGTAAGGAGTTACTGACCGTGTTGCCAATTGGCTTTTGGAAAAGTCTGATATTTCAGGTGTTGGTTCTTATGAGAGAAATTATGACGGGAAACATTCGAGCGTAGTTCTCGTTTGTCCGCTTTAACGTATTGTTTATGATCAAATGGAATAAGCAGCTTCGATCTGATTAACGGCAGCCACGCTCACGGACTGTCATTTGGAGGATATAGAGTGCGGCAAATATCAACTCGTATTTGCGTCAGCAGGGAACGTTTTGGTGTGGCCATTTTTTTCTTTGATGAAAAAACAGCCACACCGTTTCACCAGAGTATGACGGTTTGCATCAAACAAATATTATTGCGGGTAAACCTTCGAGTGCAGTTGTTTGTTGCTTCAAAGTATCTTTTACGATCAAATGGAATTGTCAAATAGATTAACGGCAGCTATACTCAAGGATTTTCGTTTGGAAAATTAATAGTGCAGCAAATATCAGCTCATATTTGTGACTGCGGAGGAGGTTTTGTCGAAGCCAATTCTTTTCTGGCTAAAAAAAGACCTGTTTCACCGTTTCACTTATCGGCTCTACGTGTGTTTGTTTTTGTCGGATGACAGAACTTCCGGTTTTTTTTATTTAACTCATTTTGATTGGTTGCCTGATCATTTCCGGAAATTCAGTGACGCGCAATTGAAAACTCCCACGTAGCGCCTTTTTTGTGTATTTTCCTGCGGGAGAAAAACTAAATCGAATTTCTGATTCTGGCCCGTTCACGGCCAGAATGATAAAATTGTACCTAGGGAGAAGCACGTTGGCCTCTTTATATTCCAATCTTTCATTTGACCTTCATTCAAGCGCCAAGATAACTGATCCACAGACTGTTTCGCTTTTTATAAATGACGAAGTGTTACAACACATTGAACTTTAGCGGAATTATAACCAACAAATGCTGCGTTATAAGCCACTCCTTGCAAACACCCTTCAAAACTGTTTGTAAATAAGATAAAAATGGTTGGAAAATTATAACAGTTAAAGCTGGACTGCACGGGCCTAAGTTCACCTTGAGGCTATAGCAGTCTTATCAATTATTCATTAAGCCCAAAATGAAGAACTGCCCGCTTTTTTTGTTACACTAGATGTATTATTTCACGAACAATTTTAATCCTTGATTTGACATAGATTTGGACAGGAACTAAAGCCTTATGAAATCATTCTGCTATCAAATGCAATCTTCTTGAGATCAGATTTTAAAACCGCTGAAGTAGCTGAAAGAAAACAATTTTCACCAAATTGAATTTGTAATGCTTTTACTTTCAAATAAAGTAATTTTAAAAAAGTTGTAAATATTTATTTATGTATCGATGAATACTCGGGCGTAAAACGCTTATGAAAGTCGATTTTCATTATTTTTTCAGAAACAAGAAAATGACAGGTGCATAAGTCTATTTAAATTTTGGCATCTAGCAGCCAAGATATGTAAATAGAAAAATTGGCACAAAACACATTTTAAATTTTCTCAAAGAGTTGATGTCAACTTTTCAATGGTATCTGACAGATTTTATTTTAATCTAAAAATTGACTTTAAAGTAATGCTTTTTACATCGGTCAGAAAAATACTATTGAACATTTGTGTATTTCTTACGGCATTTCCAATGACATCAAGATCAAATTTCTCCTGGAAACCAAAAGGTTAATAATTTATGAGCGATATCTTGGGTTTGGAAAGTAATAAACTGGCTTCCAACAATTTGCACGGTGTTTTCAAACATAACATTTAGTATGCTATGATATATTCTTACGCTCTTCATATAGTCCTATTGTACACTAAATATGCAGCTGTCGATGGAGAACTTAAAAAGGGTGGTAAACAACGAAAAGTAGAAATAAATCCATTTGAAGCGAGGGAAAGAAAATGGAAAAACCAAAAGCAGTCTTGGCATTTACCGTTGTACTTTGATTAGTTCTGTAGCGACTAAAGTTGACTTAGTTGAACAAGGACAGAGAAGTGTAAAAATTCAGCTTTAAATCATTCAGAATATTGCTAAAAAGAATATTTTACCCAAACCAAAATGACGGTAAGTGACAATGTCGCTGCGCCTGGTTTGGTATTGTTTATCGTAATTTACACCTCAGTTTTCATTTTATCAACGGTTGGTAACACATGGGTTTTGCTGACTTGCTACAAGACTTTAAAAAGAAGATATTCCCCGTTTAAGTGGTTATTGGTGAATTTAGCGATGGCGGATCTCCTGTTTACTCTTCTTTCCGTATTTAACATGATCGGATATTTGTGGCGCTGGATAGGTGGAAACAACACTTGTAAGCTTCAAGGATTCTTTGTGGAGGCGAGCTATACGACTTCCATCATGACACTTGTAACTATTAGTTACCAAAGATTAAAAGCTACCACAGATCCATTTAGTTCCAGAGCAAGAGACTGGTGCAGCAGAGAATACCTTAAACCAGTTATAATTTGGGGATTTAGCTTACTGGTCTGCACTCCTCTGCTGCAAATCTACAGCATAAAAACGGTAGACAGCAACGTTGCTTGTATGACTACGAGAAATGGAGTCACTGTCCCGCAGATTTATTACAGTTTGCACACGACATTATTCTTTGCGGCCCCGTTGTTTTACATGATTTTTACCCAAATCCGAATTCATCTCGCTCTTCGCACAAGCGTTAGACCAACAAGCAAATTGTTCACTTCGCGAGCACAGAGACGACACAAAAAGGCTACAAAGACACTTTCTGCACTAACTATAGCATTTGTGATCTGTTGGTCTCCTTTCATGGTCAATCGGACGCTAATATACTTTCGTTTAGCACCAAAAGGACTCATTTGGAGGGCATCTCAACTTTTAATCTTTCTCAATACCGGATTGGATCCTTTGTTGTACGGTTTGTACGACGGAGACTTAAAGTCTTTACTACGAAGAGTTCTCTACAAGAACAGGGATAACACAGTGACATCTCTTTATCAAAATACATTAGAGTGAAAGGTATACTTGAAAACTTAATCTGTTGGACACAGGGCATGAGCCCGTGGCAGCCACGAAGGAGTGTTCCATAATCTACACGATTCGCAGCGGGTATTTTCTTTAAAGCTAAACAAGAGAAGGGAACAAAGAAATAGGAAATAATTTTCCTGACAGTATAAATATTTAATTCATACTGTCGTATCTATAATACGTAAAGTACACACCAACATCCTCAGGGATTAATTTTCTGCTGAAGAAACCTGGAAATCCACTTGATTCCTTTTACTTGTAGGAACAAAAAGTTGACAAGACACACCATCAGTAAGAGAGGAAAAGCTGAGAAAAGCAACCGGCGTTGAATGAAAAGTTCTTTTGGATATTTCGATCAATTTGCCATGCTTGCTACCTCTCAAATATTTGCACAAACTTTCATTTTGATAGAAATGTGCCCTTCTGAATTCAGCCAAGTTATATATTTTATATGCGAAAGATAAATTAACAAAAACAGATAAACAAAATAGAATAAGACGGAGCAAGTTCAGCCAGAAGAAGTGACTTGTCTACAATATATATGTATATATATATATATATATATATATGTGTATGTAAATTTTGTGTGAAAGGTACCTCAGCGGTTTGTAAAAAAAGAAAAAAAAACAGATGTTTTTCTCCCACGAAAATCTTATATTTTACTGTAATTGAATAAAAATAAGTTAAGATGGTAAAAAACGAAATGTATTACAGTAGTTAGCGAAAGTCATAAAAGCCATGGTAATTTCATTATATCACAGGTTTCAAGTGAATATCAGTAAATAACATATACCCTTACGAAGTTGTACCATCGAATTTATTGATTTACAAGGAGACTTACATTGTGAATAGGAAAAATTGGAAAGGTGTGCGTTATACTAAGGATATAACGAAAAAAGGATTTTTGCTGTGTAACCTAAAATCAAGTCGCTATAGAGTAAGGATCAGGGAGATAACCAATATCACCTGGTGAATCTTATCTAAACTGGGGCATATTGAATAAACCATGTATTTAATCAATTTATAATAATGTAGTTTCCTTATTGCCAAGAGGTCGACAACATCGGATAAGCGTAATAAACATTCAAAACTGACCGTGATTGGGTAAGGATTTCGTTAGAAGGGAGTTCAAAGTAAGATCAACATAATTAGAAGTATAGTTCAATGATTCTTCTGATCAGTTGATAATGTTCTTTTTAAAGCTATGGTTGAATAGTTAAACCGTTTGATTAAAATAAACGTCAAAAGTTGTAAAGTTCTTAGAGTTCAAAATAAATTCAAATAGGCAGTATTGTTACAAGGTCCTTTTGATCTAAAGTAAATTTGACATCTGTGAGATGATAGTAAGTTTTTATGTAAATTCATAAGGGCATTGAAATATGCCACTACCATAAGTCACAAAGGTCTTCCAAGATCGCCAAGAAATATTTTGTGAAACGTTCACGGCATTAAATCGATCTGGATCTTGTCGTTAAACATTTGATGAATATTCAAAACATTTGAACTGCACAATTATCGTAACGTTGATATAATCATACTGATATGTCATTATATAGATTTATATCAAACGCTGATATAAATCATATATCACCGGTTTCGATCAAATTGGTGGGTTGTGTGGAAGCTAACACTACCTTGCACACAACGGTTTCAATCAAGTTCTGTTTAACATAACTTTTAAGTTTTGTTAAAGCAAAGAAGAAATGTTAGTTATGACAGTTACATATCATTATATTTCACTTGATCATCTTGGCAGCTTGTGTGTCCCAAGGTTTGCTTATCATTTTTAAAGTGATGTTTTATAAGAAAGAACATAGCATAACCAGATGCTACAATTTTGATAAACAGAGCGATAAATATTACAAACAGTGCTTCAACTATTCTATAAAGCTGTCCAAAACTAGAGATTAAAACTTGCCGAGGGCTTACGATGAAATTCACGGCTTTTTGAATAAGCTTATACATAAGCACTTTCACAAGATGCGGAAATAGCTTATAATTATGTTGGAAGAATGAATAGCGATTATTCTACTACATCATGCATATCTGTTGTCTTCAAATTTGGCACCACTTATGTAAAGAAAGGATTAAGAATGCTTATCGTCAGGCTCTGATCGCCTTAAGAGATAGGGCTGAGGAGATTTCCATTGAAATTAACTGATGACATCCAATTTCTTGTCAGGAAAACACATAAACTTTCTTCATACTCCTGTTGTAACAGCTGCTTCGCAAAGTAAAGAAGCTTTCTTAATGTTTCCTGTTGATCCCGGCATAATTAAGCTAGATATATTCCATTCTACTTGAGCCACAAAAAAAGAAAAAAAAACAACAATAACAAACAAGCGAGGGTATGGACTTTCTAATAGAAGATCCAACCCAGGCAAGTTTTAGTTCTATTTACCTCTTCTTTTTTTTTTCGGGAACAAAAATGCTAAGCGAGTTTTAATAAGTTGACAGCTTGTTATAAAAACAGGTTTGGTTAAAATAAGACAAGATTCAGAATGGTCGTCGGCGCGCAATCAATCACAGAGACACACATTGGCTTTGAGCAAGGTAAGAAACGCTTGTTTAACACAGCATTTGAAGAGGACCCGAATACTACACATGGCAACGAGCGGCGGATTTCCCATAGCATTAGTTGCCACATTCACATGTGTTTATTTCCTAATCTTCCTGTCGTCAATCGTGGGGAACTCATTTGTTCTTTAGCTCTGTTACAAACTAAAACGACAACGAGAGTCTTCTTTGACGTGTTACATCGCCAACTTAGCAATTGCAGATGTAGCATTTACGGTACTGACTATTTTTGACTTGATGTGGACTTGGGTAGGCGGCGAGATATCCTGTAAACTACAGAGCTTTGTCATTGAAGCATGTTACTCCACCTCCATATTGACTCTTGTTGTTATCAGCTTTGAGCGTCTGAAGGCTGTGGTAGACCCTGTAAGAGTCAGACTTATCACAAGGGAAAACATGCTACGAAAGTTAATCGCCGTTCGGTCAGTTGGCGCAGTCGTCGCTTCGCCTTTGCTTTATGCTTATCAAACCCAAACAGACGACACAGGAACCATTTCCTGCACGAATATCGTGTTCGGAGATTTAGCGCGACAGACCTATTATACTATTCACGCATTTTGTTTTTTCCTTGTACCTCTTGTCTACATGATAGTTGTTCAGAAGAGAATTTTTCTATCCTTACGCTCAAGCGTTGCATCAAATACATCAAACACCATAGCTTCCATGCGCTATAAGCGGCATTACAAAGTGGCCAAGGTCTTGGCAGCACTCACAATAGCGTTTGTAATATGTTGGTCACCTTTCATGGTCACACGCACGTTGTTGTACTTCCATTTCACAAATGGTGGTTACGTATGGCGAGCGTCTCAGTTATTGATTGATATTGATATTGATATTGTTAAATACGGCCTTAGATCCAATATTATACGGAGTCTACGGAGAAGCTATGAGGCAGTATGCTTGAAGTTTATTCAAGAAAACAAGACGGCCCCTGTTTCCTCATGTGGACCCTCTCCGCGACAGACAAGAAAGAGTGCAAGTAATGGATTCACAAGCCATAGAACTTTATTATATGCAGAAAAATAAATCGGAATAATTTAATGAGGTGTTGGCTGCTCAACCCCTTACCCACTAACATCAGTGTGCATATTCTTCAAACTGTTCTCCATTCATCTCCTGAGATGCCGATAAGAAGAATTTGAGCTTCTTTAGTTGGTGATCATTTCCTTTACTCGCGGGACCTTAGAGTTTGATTCAAAAAGGTGATATTGAATGTGGCATCGGATGCTAGATCATAGGGCTAAAATGGTCATAAACCAGGAAATCGTGAACCATACTTTGCTGCGAGATTTCTCGTTCGTTAGAGGAGTTATTTCTAAGAACGAGCAGAACACAACTAAATGAAATAAAGGTCAATGGAATTTTTTTCCCTTAGGGAGTTATTTAGGGTTGTGTTTCCTATTTATGTGACGATTGTTAGTGTTAGGCTCTTTTCTCCATTATGAATGTCGTAAATTCGAAGTATGCCTAGTTTTACTGGGAAAAAAGAAATAATTATAGCATGTGAAAACTTAATTTGACATGGTGTTACATTACCAAAATAAAGTTTCTGTCAACACTGATGACGTATAATTTTGACATCTTGTGAGGGACATGTTAAAATACGAAATTATATTTAGTCAGCCTGTGTTCGACTGCATGCATGCGTCGGGGCATTTCCGCAAGCGATGGTTGTGAGATTCCGCATAACTATTCCAAGCCAAAATGACATTTAAAAGTAATTTTTAGTTCCAAGCAGAATGCGTGTCGCAAACTTTTATCTATCTTTTCGTGGCTTCTTATATCGTCAGTTGGAACCACAACGCGCTCTCTCGTTGACCGATAGGTGAAACAGGAGTAGTTATTATTCAACTGCACATAGCAGAGTACAATAACGCACGAACAGTGTGCAAATATCCTGCAATATTATACGGTTATTTAGACAGTTGGTTGGTTACTTTGTACTGAAAAAAACCCTGTTTAACCAGTCGGCTGCGCGCGCTACGTTTCTTTAGTCGCTTTGCTATTCTCGCCTTAGGAGAAACAGGCAGAGAGACTTAGCAGAAATAAAAGCAGTTGGAGAATAAATAACCTATAAGTATTTTGATTCACCCTACAAAATATGGCAAAATACTGAGCGATACAACACACCAAAACGTCTAATAATATATATTTACCCTGCTATCACGGTTATAACTTGTAACGTTCGCGCGAATCTTTCAGAAGTAGTTTATGAGAGTAATAGAAAACAAATTCCGTGGTTTACATAGCCTCATCTACACAATCAAGGTAATTTTGGTTTTATCAACTGAGTTAATAATGTCAATTGGCCACCGTAAAGAGTTTCAAAGCTGACATTTCCAGCGTTAGCCCTTCATCATCGCACTGACTGAGCGCTAACGCTCGAAATGGCACCTTTGGATCTCTTTACAGAGGCCATATTACATTATTAACTCAGTTGAAAAACCAAATTATCTTGTAATACCCCCACTGACTCAGCAACACAGTTTTTTTTTTTAAAATAACCCCATTCCTTTAATTTCCTTCTTAACCTGCTTGCAAATATTTAAATTTTATGTTTTAAGTGAAGTGACTGAGAAGATAAAACAGAAGTGTTGCAGAGCTCTCCTTCCAGAATAAGAACACTTTTCTGGTACATATGATTACCATATGTGTCGTACCCCTTAAACCCTCTAGATTTCATTAGTACACGTAATTCTCCTTACTGTCTGCAATACAATTTATGTGATGTTAGTTTGTAGAATTTAGAATTGGATCAACCATTAATTCCCTTACTGATATTTTTCTGTATTCTCATTACTTGTCTGCTTGCTATCATACTGATAGTGTAAGGAGAAATTCTGTCTCGGTCACTAGCGGGACTAAAAGGGTTAAAATGGGGGATTTCATTATATTGATATGATTAAATTTTCTTATTCTTTCAAATGTAAAAGCTAATGTTATGAAACAATGGAAAAACCTGTTGCTGGTAGCTTATGTCTGTAATGTTTAAGTTTTCATGGAAAATGCTTTTCTTTGAAAGCAATGATACAGAAGTTTTCAAAGCTGATAGAAATAAGCTGTTTGCAAGTAATGAAAAGTAGATTGACAATCATATCTTAATGCTTGACATGCTTTGCTCAGACCTGTCAGTTGTGTGTACCTACCATGGTAGAGATGTCTTTCAAAAGAATGTTTTGGTGTGGATGTTGTTCTTTGTTGATCTTTGTACCCAAAAAAGCTACTAAAGGAACTGAACTTTAATTTTTATGTGCACAAGACACCCTCAATCAGAAAAATGAGGTAAATTGTAAACTCAGTTTACCATATGATAGAAGAAACATCACAGAGTACTTAAGAAGGGAAACTTGGATTGTGCTAGGTAATTTCTTCTATTGCCCTTCATGTTTTTGATTCAAATAAAATTTAATCAGTAGTAGGGTTTGCCTGCAATGTGTCAAATTACCAGTGTAGCAGACTTGATTCTTCTCAGATGTCAGCTGGTAAAAGATAGATAATAAGAATAGATGATAATTATCCCCAAATTAATATTTGTCTTTATTCTTATCACTTACCCGGTTGATATTATATTGGTATTGTAGAGAAAAATTCTTTCTTGATCACTCATGGGAGTTAGAGGGTTAATATTCATAACAAAGTTTCATTTAACATAAAATGTTTCAAGAACTTTTTTCCCTTCTTTTAAATACCATTTACTATTTCTGGAGACAACTAATCATTTAACTCCCAAGATCGCATTAGTCATTCTCCTTACTGTCTACCACATAGTTCTTGTGATGTTAGTTTTGAGAATTTGGTATTGGATCAACCAATAATCCCCTAATTACTATTTTTATTTATTCTCATCACTTGTCTACTTGATATTGTATTGATATTGTTAGGAGAAATTCTGTCTTGATCATACATGGGAGTTAAAGGGTTAAAGGAAGTAAGTTATTAAAAAAATTATAACTTTCATTAATTATTTGAATATGTGAGTAACATTTGATGTTTTCACATGTAACAGGATGATCAAGCTGAAGATAGCCTCAAAAAGGAGTGAACTCCACTGTAACTGAGGTAGGTGACTGATTTGGAAACTTGAGCACATGGTAAATACACCTCAGCTTGCAATTCTGGTGATTAAAGTTTGCTGGGGTAATTGAAATGTCAGTCCCCATGCAAGAACCATCCACATGACCTGTACAGTCATATACTATGAGATAACTTTAGAAAAATGCATTTGTGTCAGTAGAAGTATTTTAAGTACAGTATCACCTAGTAAAAAAAAATTAATGTTATCCCATAAGCATGAATGTTTGGGAGAAGTTATGGTGGTAATTGACCTTTTTTCGCTAGGATGCATAGGTTCTGATGATTTTAATGTATATCATTGAGCTTTCAAACTTTCAACTTTCCATTAATTGTAACTGTTTACCATATCTATTTCTCAAAAGTTGAAGAAGGTGGGTCAATAACCTGACTTCCTTTGTTTGGAATTGTGTTATTATATAATTTTGCTGTCCAAGTTACCACATTGTAACATGTAATATTATTATTATTCAGACTGCATTTAATACTTGTGCTCAAGCTTTCATTAATGCATGGTGTTTCTTACCCATGTTCATATCAAAAATAAACATTGATATCTGGAAATGGTCACAAGATATGTGAGTTTTTAAGGGTAGGAATCTGGAAAAGCAAGGATCCTCCTTTAATTAGGACTGAAATTAATGGGGGCCATCCTGTTTTAAATCATGTTTTTACTTTGACTTGCCCCCTCACCTGTAATGTTTAGGGCACATAGATGAAGAGAACATTTTTTGTATTTTGATGCATGAAAGTTAAGTTAATTGGCATCCACATATTGCACAAGGCAAGAATATAAATGCCTTAGCTTAATAAGTTAAAAAATTAAATTAGCTTTTTCATTAGTACAAATTTCTTTTTCTAAGAATCTTGGTTATCCAGCCTATGCTGAATTCTAATTTTTGAACCAAATTTTCTTTTCTTTTGAATATTCTTAGATCTCCTAGTATCAGTTAATATTCATGTATTAATTAAAATAAATCTTGCAGATGTATGGCACATTATTTTTTCTCTGATCCTCCTAACATTTTATTATGTGTAGGGATTGGTATTGGCTATAAAAATTTCAGTCAAATTAAAGTTTTCTGTACAGCCTATGCATCAAGTTTATATAATAAAATATTGTATCCTTCTTAAAACTAGTTTATCAGAATAAGAAGTTGAGTTAACAGGCACAAGTGTGGCTAATTCACAATGATAGTTTCCAGCTTTGAAAAAAGTCACTGCCTACTAAAATCATCAGTTCCTTTGCCCTGACAGCCCAACCTCATCAAAACATTGCCAGCAGGAGCAATAAGCAAATTAATGATACTGACAAGAGAGGCTATTCCCAAATACACCCTCCTCAATCCTGTTAGCGTATTATGGACAAGGCATTTCAAACATGTCATACATGCCACAAATTTTCCATCCTCTGATTGATTATTTTGTAATGTTGTTTACAAGTTGTGAAAAATGGTTGGGTTGAAATAGTAGATAGTCAAATGACTGAAAACTTTTTATATATCAATAAAACTTATTAGTGTGTTTCATGTTAACATATTGCAACAACTCCAAATTCCAGTAAATTCAGTTAATGGCAAAGATGAGAAAATACCATCCAAAACTTTTTCAACCTATTTAATATACATAGCCAATAAAAACATCAACTCAAAAACTTTTAGGTAAAATTTCCGTACAGCCCCATCCTACATTATGCATTCAGTTCTTGGATAGAGAAAACAATGACAAAAACAATACATTGCTATTTACATTGTGCGGAAATTTTACCAATATCAGAAAAAGACGTCGTGTATTTCCAGCCAAAGGACAAGCATGAAACAATAGCCGAAAGCAAGAAAGTTTTAAAAGATTACAGGTTCAAACACGAGTTGAAAATTACTTTTCTTTTTAATTTTCTACGCTGAACAGAGGAGGTTGAAACGTTAGGGAAAAACGGTGGGGCAAGCAGTCATACCTGGCATCTTCAAGAGAAGATATAAGAGAAGCTCATACGATTCTGGCGTGTTGTTTTACTGACTCACTGTGCTCACGTGTATACACCCCAATCTACCAGTGATGTCTCCACGCAAAGTTGTTTTCCGTCGTTTCTTTCAATTTTGGCCCATTTTCCTAAACCGAAATTATAATTCACACTTACTAAAATATAATTTCAACAGATGCTGTCATCACACACTTCATCTGAAAAAGATAACATTCCCAATCTTCGAATATTTGCTCAGAACATCAGGAACACCGATGAAGGTCCTAAGCTGTGTGAAGTTACCGCTGACTAGCATGCGTGTTTTGAGAACATCGTCCCCAGGTTCCAGACCTTGTCTGGTCTCTTAACCCTTTGAAGAAGCTCTTCTACAGCCTGTGCGGACAAGTTTTATTACAGTCTTTATTAAGTATAATGAAGGGCTGGAAAATAAACTTATAAGAGCTCCGCTTTTGGGCTTGGCTAAATCTATATATTATACGAAGATGAAAAAGCGAAAAATAAACACGAAAGTATACAAGAGAGAACTAGAACACTAAGTGTACGGGTTACACCTGCCACATTCTCGTAAAATTGAATTTGGAGACAAAAGTTACATCGGAAGAAAACCATTCCCATAGATTCGACTTTGCTTTCAGGAAAATATGTTTTTGGATAATGATCGTGTAAGCGTGAAACGCCTTCTTGGAAAATTTCTCGTTATCGACAGAATGGTGCAGGAAATATTAGGGTTCAACTTAACGATTAAATCATTGAGATCCCTTTTATTTAAAGTCTAGAGCAACAATCTACCACCAATTCTCAATAAAGGTTTAACAATCGACCAATCTTTGAAGCAGGCGAACAGAAAATATGGTGAGGCAAAACTTTGCTTTGACCCGTGAAATATTCATACTTGTGATTCTCTCTGACGATTACATTCTTTTCTTTTCCAGCAACAATGCAGCAAATGTGTTTGCAAGCATCTTTGTTGTATTATAATAACTTTCAGATAAAATCGTAATGTATATTCATATGTAGATACAAATATACACACTTGTACATTTCCGCTTCACTTTGGGGAACGTAAATTGCATATGTATTAGCAAGTAAATTTCAGTTTGGAAAGGTGGATTGTATATATGTCTATAACTGAGTGTCATGTTCTAAAAGGTGTATTTTAAGAATATCTACAAAAGCCCCAGAAAAAACATGGTACCTTTCAGACTGGTAGTTCGTATTTCATAATTGCTATCCCGAATCATTTTGATATCTTACAGCTTGAAAAAGGCGATGCCTATTTTTTACGAAAGGGCGGGAACACGAAGTTAATTAGGTATGGACTATAAACCCTACAAATGAAGGTTTACTTCGAACACAAGATTAATAGATCAATGTAGAACAAAGGGACAAATGTAATAATACGTCTGCAACAAAAGTATGGAGTCAGTTTTGAAATGGATTTCAAGATATTAAACGTTCATTTGAATTAGCATTTGCACTTAAAATGTCTTTCGGTATTTAATATGTTTAGCGCATTAAAATCGCAACAAAAAGAAGCAATTTCTATACTGGTTTCTGGTAAGGAGTTACTGGCCGTGTTGCCAACTGGCCTTTGGAAAAGCCTGCTATTTCAGGTGTCGATTCTCATGAAAGAAATTATGACGGGAAACCTTCGAGCGTAGTTGTCGTTTGCCGGCTTCAACGGATTGTTTATGGAATAAACATCTTGAATCTGATTAACGGTAGCTACGCTCACAAATTGTCATTTGGAGGATATAGAGTGCGGCAAATATCAACTTGTATTTGCATCAGCAGAGAACGTTTTGAAACAAATATTATTGCGGGTAAACCTTCGAGTGCAGTTATTTGTTGCTTTAAAGAATCCGATCAAATGGAAGGAAAAGGAAGAGCTGTCAAATAGATTAAAGGCAGCTATACTCAAAGATTTTCGCTCGGAAAATATAGTGTGCAGCAAATATCAGCTCATATTTGTGAGCGCGGAGGAGGTTTTGTAGCAGTTTATTCTTTTTTGGCTGAAAAAAAAAACTGTTTCACCGTTTCACTCCTCGGCTCAACGTGTGTTTGTTTCGTTGGATAACAGTGCTTCCGGTTTTTAATTTAACTCATTTTGATCGGTTGCCTGCTCATTTCCGGAAATGCAGTGATACGCAACTAACCAGGGGGTTTTGCTTTTTTTCAACAGCCTCTTCGTGCCGGTAGGCGTCTTCTCGCCCTTCCCCCGCCACCTACCCCCACCGTCCACTCAAACTCTAAATCAAACACGGCCAGTTTAATTTTGAATTTGAACGTGAATTTGCATTCTTTTGGAATTTAATAAAATTATGTCTTGCGCATTAAGATCGGGACAAATGTTATCTCGCAGTTTTAGCTATTTCTGCCCGTCTTACTGGGGCCAAAACAACTCTTTTCCAGAGGGGCTAAATTAGCCCAAAAAATAGTATTGTATTTGAACTGAACTATACACAGAACTACCCATAAACTTAGACGGTATTGCCGATCGTGCTACTTTATAAGGGCACAATAAGTATTTACTAGAAAGATTTCTGAATGGTGGTGCTTTTACTGGCCCACTTTCGTATTGCCTTAACGCTTTTATTCCCAAGATGTAATTTCTCGTGTCAGATCTCCATTCTGAACGGATTTCATATCGAGAGCGAAGCAAAACTAACTTCAGAATCTAACTACCCAACGTGGGAAGCTAAATGTGAGCGGATTAAAAGATAATAATAACGTTGTACGTGGTCTTTCCTCGCGGGTAAAGAAAATGAAGTCGCGCCATTTTTAAGTGTTTATTGATCACAGCAGTCATGCTACTCTTTATAAATATAATAAAATTGTACCAACGGAGAAGCACGTTGGCTTCGTTTTATTCCAATGCTTAGTTTGATCTTAATTCAAGCATCTTACTTTCGTAATCGTTCGCGATAATTGATCCACAGACTGTTTCGCTTTTTATATGTGGCGACGGGTCACAACACATTAAACTTAAGCGGAATTATCACCAAAAAACGCTGCGTTATAAGCCACCTCCTGCAAACGCCCTTAAAAAATTGTTATCAAAAACAGTTAGAACTGAACCGCATGGGCCTTGGCTCACTTAGATGCTATAGCAGTCTTACCCATTAATCATTAAGCCCAAAATGAAGAAATACACGCGTTTTTTGGGTCTTTTTGTTGTAATAAATATATTATTTTGTGAACAATTTTAACCCTTAGCAATTTGATATAGATTTGGTCAGTAACTACAGCGTTATGAATCACTCTACTATCAAATGGAAGCTTCATGAGATCAAATTTTAAAACAGCTGAAGTAGCTGAAAGGAAATAATTTCCACCAAATTGAATTTGTAATGCTTATATTTTTTAAATAAAGTAATTAAAGATAAGTTATAAATATTTATTCATGCATCGATGAATACTCGGCGGTAAAACATTAACTGATGAAATTTGATTTTCATTCCTTTTTTTAGTAACAAGAAACGACAGGTGCGTCATTCTATTTAAATAATAGCATCTAACAGCCAAGATCATTCTAAATGAAAAAAATTGGCACAAGACACATTTTTAATTTTCTGAAAAAGTTTATGTCAACTATTCAATGGTATTAAACAAATTTTATTTCAATCAAAAAATAGCTTGTTGTTTTCAAACGTAACGTTTACTATGCTGTGATACATCCTTACGCTCTTCATATTGTCCTATATTGTACCCTAAATATGCAGCTGTCGATGGAGAACTAAAAAAAAACGTGGTAAACAACAAAAAGTAGAAATAAATGCATTTGAAGCGGGGGAAAGAAAATAGAAAAACCATAAGCAGTCTTCGCATGACACCGTTGTACATAGATCTGCTCTGTGACGCTTCATAGAAACTGCCGCGGTAAACAAGGACGGAGAGATGTGAAAAGTCAGCTTTAAATTGTTCGGGATATCGATAAAAAGGACTACTTCAAAAAAAAAGGTAAAATATTTTACCCAAACCAAAATGGCGGTAATTGACAATATCGCAGCGCCTGCTTCGGTGCTATTTATCGTAAGTTACATTACAGTTTTTATTTTATCAACGGTTGGTAACACATGGGTTTTGCTAACTTGCTACAAGACTTTAAAGAGAAGACATTCCCCTTTTACGTGGTTATTGGTGAATTTAGCGACGGCAGATCTCCTATTTACTCTACTTTCCGCATTTAACATGATTGGATATTTGTGGCGCTGGATAGGTGGAAACAACACTTGTAAGCTTCAAGGATTCTTTGTGGAGGCGAGCTATACGACTTCCATCATGACACTTGTAACTATTAGCTACCAACGATTAAAAGCTACCACAGATCCGTTTAGTTCCAGAGCAAGAGTCTGGTACAGCAGAGAATACCTTAAACCAGTTATAATTTGGGGATTTAGCTTACTGGTCTGCACTCCTTTGCTGCAAATCTACAGCGTAAAAACGGTGGACAGCAACGTTGCTTGTATAACTACGAGAAATGGAGTCATTGTCCCACAGATTTATTACAGTTTGCATACGACATTATTCTTTGTGGCCCCGTTGTTTTACATGATTTTTACCCAAATCCGAATTCATCTCGCTCTTCGCACAAGCGTTACACCAACGAGCAAATTGTTCACTTTGCTAGCACAGAGACGACACAAAAAGGCATCAAAGACACTTGCTGCACTAACTATAGCATTTATAATCTGTTGGTCACCTTTCATGGTCAATCGGACGCTAATATACTTTCGTTTAGCATCAAAAGGACTCATTTGGAGGGCGTCTCAACTTTTAATCTTTCTTAATACCGGATTGGATCCTTTGTTGTACGGTGTGTACGACGGGGACTTTAAGTCTTTACTGCGAAGAGTTCTTTACAGGAACAGGGATAACAGAGTGATATCTCTCCATCAAAATACAATAGAATGAAAGGTATACCTGAGAACTTAATCTGTTGGGCACAAGGCATGAGCCCGTGGCAGCCACGAAGGAGTGTTCCATGATCTACACGAATCGCAGCGAGTATGTTTCTTTAAAGAGGACAAAAGAAGGGAACAAAGAAATATGAAAGAATTTTCCTGATAGTATAAAGATTTAATTAACGCTGTCCTACCTATAATACGTAAAGTACACACCAACATTCTCAGGGATTAATTTTCTGCTGAAGGAACCTCTGGAAGTTCACCCGATTCCTTCTAATTGTGGGAATAAAAAGTTAATGAGACACACCATCGATAAGAGAGGAAAAGGAAAGAAAAGCAACCGGCGTTGAATGAAAAGTTCTTTGAGATATTTCAATCGAGTTTGCCATGCTTGCTACCTCTCAAATATTTGCACAAACTTTCATTTAGTTAGAAATGTGTGCTTCTTAATCCAGCCAAGTTAATGTCTACTCCGATATTTAAATTATTTTTTGTTTCATATTGAAAAAAGGAAAGAAAAGCACCGCATTTGGCTTGCAACCCTTAATGAAACTAAAAAATTTCATCTACTGATGTAGTATATTTTGTACGCGAAAGATAAATTAACAAAAACAGATAAACAAGACAGAATAAGACGGAGCAAGTTCAGCCGGAAGAAGTGACTTGTCTACAATATATGTAAATTTTGTGTTAAGAAAAGATACCTCAATGGTTTGTAAGAAAAAAAAAACCCAGTGTTTTTTTCCCACGCAAATCCAATATTGTGCCGTAATTGAAGACAACTAAGATGAGATGGTAAAAACCAAATGTCTTCAAAAGTTAGCAAAAGTCACAAAAGTTATGGTAAGTACATTATATCACAGGTTTCAAGTGAATATCAGTAAATAATATTTACCCTTACGAAGTTGTACCATCGAATCTACTGATTTACAAGTAAAAGGAGAGTTATTTCACTAAAGATAAAACGCCTTCTCATACTGTGAAAGGGAAAAAATTGGAAAGGCGAGCAGTATATAACGAAAAAGGATTTTTGCAGTATAGCCTTAAATCAAGCTGCTATAGAGTAAGGATCAGGGAGATAACCAATAGCACCTGATGAACCTTATCTAATCTGGGACATATTGAATAAACCATCTATTTAATCAATTCATAATATATTAATAATGTAGTTTCCTTATGCCCAAGAGGTCGACAAAATAGGATAAGCGTTAAATAACATCCAAAACGGACCGTGATTGGGTAAAGATTTCGCTAATGGAGACTTCATATTAAAATCAACATAATTAGAAATATAGTTCAATGATTCCTCTGATCAGTTGATAATGTTCTTTTGAAAACTATGGTTGAATAGTAAAACCATTTGATTCAAATAAACCTTAAAATTTGTAACTGCTTAGAGTCCAAAATGAAATCCAATCGGCAGGATTGTTCAAGGGTCCTTTTGATCTAAAGTAAATTTGACTTTTTTTTTTTTTGAGGCTAGCAAATTTTTATGTAAATTCAGAGGTGCATTGAAATATGCCACTACCATAAGTCACAAAGGTCTTCCAAGATCGTCAACAAATATTTTGTGAAACGTTTACGGCATTAAATCGATCAGGATCTTTTCGCTAAGCATTTGGTGAATATTCAAAACATTTTAACTGCACAATTATCGTAACGTTGATATAAATCATACTGATGTCTCATTATATAGATTTATATCAAACGTTAATATAAATCATATATCACCGGTTTCGATCAAATTGGTGGGTTGTGTGAAGGCTAACATCACCTTGCACCCAACGGTTTCAATCAAGTTCTGTTTCACATCATTTTAAAGTTTTTTTTTAAAGAAAAAAAAATGTTAGTCATGCTAGTAACATATCATTATATTTCACATGGTCAGCTGGGCAGCTTGTGCCCCAAAAAACTGATGTTTTGTAAAAAAGTACATAGTATAACCAGATGCTACAATTTTGATAAACAGAGCGATAAACATTACAAACAATGCTTTACTTGAACTATTCTATAAAGCTGTCCAAAACTAGAGATTAGAACTTACCGAGGGCTTATAATGAAATTCACGGCTTTTTGAATAAGCTTATACACAAGGCACTTTCACAAGGTGCGGAAATAGCTTATAATTATGTTGGAAGAATAAATAGCGATTATTATACTACATCATGCATATCTGTTGTATTCAGATTTGGTGCCAATTATCTAAAGAAAGGATTAAGAATACTTATCGTTTAGGCTCTGATCGCTTTAAGAGATAGGGCCGAGGAGATTTCCATTGAAATTAATTGATAACATCCAATTTACATGTCAGGAAAAGGTCGTTGGGAATCACAGAAACACACATTGACTCTGAGCAAGGCAAGAAACGCTTGCTTAACACAACATTTGAAGAGGTATTAAATACTACACATGACAACGAGCGATGGATTTTCCATAGCATTAGTTGTCGCATTCACATGTGTTTATTTCCTAATTTTCCTTTCGTCAATCGTGGGGAACTCATTTGTTCTTTGGCTGTGTTACAAACTAAAACGACAACGAGAGTCTTCTTTGACTTGTTGCATCGCCAACTTTGCAATTGCAGACGTAACATTTACTGTACTGACTATTTTTGACTTGATATTATTCGTGTGGACCTGGGTAGGAGGCGAGATATTCTGTAAACTACTAATTTGTCATTGAAGCATGCTACTCCACCTCCATATTGACTCTTGTTCTTATCAGTTTTGAGCGTCTGAAGGCTGTTGTAGACCCTTTTCGTGTCAGACTCATCACAAGGGAAAACATACTACGAAAGTTAATTGCCGTTTGGTCAGTTAGCGCAGTTGTCACTTCGCCTTTGCTTTATGCTTATCAAACCCAAACAGATGACACAGGAACCGTTTCCTACACGAATATCATGTTCGGGGATATAGCGCGACAGATCTATTATACTATTCACGCATTTTATTTTTTCCTTGTACCTCTTGTCTACATGATAGTTGTTCAGAAGAGAGTTTTTCTATCCTTACGCTCAAGCGTTGCATCAAATACAATAAACACCATCTCGGCTTCAATGCGCTATAAACGACATTACAAAGTGGCCAAGGTCTTGGCAGCACTTACAATAGCGTTTGTAATATGTTGGTCACCTTTCATGGTCACACGCACGATGTTGTAATTCCATCTCACTAGTGGTGGTTATGTGTGGCGAGCGTCTCAATTATTGATTCTGTTAAATACGGCCTTAGATCCAATATTATACGGAGTGTACGGAGAAGCTATGAGGAGTACGCTCGAAGTTTATTCAAGAAAACAAGACGGCCCCTGTTTCATCGTGGGGACCCTTTCCGCGACAGACAAGAAAGAGTGCAAGTAACGGATTCACAAGCCACTGAACGTTATTTTATGAAGAAAAATAAACCGGAATAATTTAGTGAGGTGTTGGCTGCTTAACCCCTTACCCACTAACATCAATATGCATATTCTTCAAACTGTTCTCCACTACATCTTGAGGTGCCGACAAGGAGAATTTGTTTAACAACCATGAGCTTCTTTATCATCGGCTAAAATGGTCATAATCCAGGAAATCATGAACCATGCTTTGCTGCGAGATTTCTTGTTCGTTAGAGGAGTTATTTTTAAGAACGAGCAGAAAACAACTAAATTAAATAAGAGTAATTGGAATTTTTTCCCCTTAGGCAGTTATTTAGGGTTGTGTTTGCTATTTGTGTGACGATTTTTAGTGTTAGGCTCTTTTCTCCATTATGAATGTCGTAAATTCGAAGTATGCCTGGTTTTGCTAGGAAAAAAAGAACAATTATAGCATGTGAAAAGTAAATTTGACATGGTGCAACATCACCAAAATAAAGGTTATGTCAACACTGATGACGTATAATTTTGACATCTTGTGAAGGACATGTTGAAATACGAAATTATATTTAGAGTCAGCCTGTGTTCGACTGCATGCATGCGTCGGGGCATTTTCACAAGCGATGGTTGTGAGACTCCGTATAACTACTCTTTCAAGCCTAAATGAAATTGAAAAGTAATTTTTTAGTTCCAAGCAGAATGCTTATCACAAACTTTTATGAAATCTATCTTTTCAACTGGGAGCTGGTCAATGAATTGGGTACAAATAAACATCAAAGTGAATGAAGATTTTAGATATATGAAAATTCACATTCCAAATTCCAAATGTAATTTCGCATCAAGTGGAATAAGACATTTAAATCTAATAATTCTCTTGTTGGAGTTCCAGACCATCCACTTTGAACCTTAAATCAATGGGAGATCGTCCAAGGGCCAGGCCAAAACCTTGGAATTTGTCTGGATTTGCTTTAAGTGAGTTTTCCTTAAACCAAGTCGTTGACTCTTTTAGGTCTTCGTTAATAGCAGTCTCAATGGCTGTAGGACATTCATGACTAAAGTGGAGCTGATTGTCGTCAGCATAGACATTCACGTAAGTTTTGGTAGCACAAAAATGCAAGTTGTTGACGAAGATATTAAAAAGAAGTGGTCCCAATACTGATCCTTGAGGAACTCCCCCTAAGACCATCGACCAATCAGAGAAACTGTCGCTAATTTTTACACGGTGTCTACGGCCAAACAAGAAACTTTTCATCAGGCTGATGCTCGTGGACGAAAGCCCATATGCAGTAAGTTTGGCTAGAAGAAGATCTGGTGATAGACACTGTCGAAGGCTTTGCTAAAATCTAAAGATTCAACGCCCACTGATCTTTTAGAATCGAGATAAAGTTTCCAGTTTTAAGTTAAGTCAATTAGTGCAGTGTCACAACCGTGATGTTTACGAAAAGCAGATTATCGATTTACAAGTAGATCATCAAACCATTTATATATTTGAAGGTAAAGACATTTTTCAAAAACTGAGTCAAATACAGGCACAAGAGAGATTGGTCTGTAATTTTGTAATTTTTTTTGTCTAAAGGTTCATCACTTTTGAAAATCAGGGTTACTTGAGTAGACTTCCAGGCTAGAGGCACAACACCTTTACAAATGTATTAATTAATGAGCTCAGTTAGAGGTTCGCGCGAATCTTTCTGAAATAGTTTATGAGAGTAATAGAAAAAAAATTCTGTGGTTTACATGGCCTCATCTACACAATCAAGGTAATTTTGGTTCTATCAACTGAGTTAATAATTATAAATTTGCCACCGTAAAGATCTTCAAAGCTGACGTTTTGAGCGTTAGCCCTCAGTCAGAGCGATGGTGAAGGGCTAATGCTAGAAACGTCAGCTTTGAAACATCTTTACGGTGGCCAAATTACATTTTCAACTCAGTCGATAAGACCAAGTTATCTTGTTATACCCACCACCGACGCAGCAACAACGTTTCTTTAAAAAATTTACCCCCATTAAACATTCAAGGGTTAAAAGTATCTATGCGCAAACTCTCCACTGCGACTCACATTTGCACGCAAAGCAATCGAGCGAAATAGCATTAGAAAATATCCACTTAGAAATAAATGGTCTAATATTTTAAAATGTTGTCGATTCTTAGTACACAGTATGAATTATGGAACTACATCACATTCATGACAGTTTACAAGCACTTTCACTTTTTCAATGGTCAACAGTCTCTGATTCAAACCTCGAACTCTATAGGGATTTTGTTAAGCATTTCATGGTTTGCATAGAGTTTGCGACTTATGCTCTAGAATTCTCTCTGATAAGGTTTTAATGATTGGCCAATATATGCCAATACCATTTTTTTACAACGTTAACGAGGAATAAAAGATCGTGCGATTTTTGTTAAACCATCAATCATCGAAAAAGATCGCAGCAAGAAAGGAAACGATTATTACCAAACAACAGTGAAATATATCAGCAAAATGAAAGGGCAAGGTACAACAGCTTTATATAGTCTAGAATAAATGGGACTGAGGCTATCTAAAACAGGACACACTGGCTGTTTTTGAGTTTAACATTGTAAACTTGATATGAACAAAAAATACACAACCTGACTCTAAATAGGGGCCCTCCTGATCGTTGCATGAGGAAATTTCTAGACGCAACGCGTAATTTTCTCTCTTTCATGTTAAATTTTGTAATCTTTTCTGGCCAACTTACACCTTACTATTATTGTCAAAGCAAAATGGTAAATGTTAAGATTGTAATATATTATTTTAATAATATACGAAGATGAAAAAGCGAAAAAGAGAGAGAGAACCAGAACACGAAACCTCTCAATAACTCAGGAAGAAAGTGTAGCAGAAGATACTTCGCGACATCAACTACAGTCGCATAATCAACCATATCTAATAGGACGTTGATGCAGCAATGTACATGTATACGTGCACCTGTGCTTCAATGAATTACATCGTTCCTTAAACGGTACGTATATTTATTTTACAAAGGAATAATAAGATTTATTGCAGCATTTACTGCTTGATAGTGGTAGTAATAGTCTCATTAATGTGAATGAGACATAAAACTTCGTTTCACCTGCAATATATAAGTAGAGAGTGGCCTCAAACTATCTGGAAACCACGAACTATCGTTATCTTCTCAGTCTTGAACACCACATGATCTGCGCTGGGGCAAGACGGTAACTAACAAGCTAATCAATAATGTGAATGTTTGACTGCTGGGGATTTCGTTTCGGAAGCTATATACTAACACGGCTTATTTCCAACAAAACCAAACGTTAGCTTGTTGAACAAATTAATTTGTGAAACTAGAGGGTAAACTTCGATCTTGATTGCGGTTTATCCATAATATTTAACCTTTATCTTGATATTAAACCATATACAGAGAATAATTTGCAAGGATAAACTGACACAACGACCAGATTCTTGGCAAGAAAAACGCCACTTTGTTATTTTTGCAGTACACTTCACTGGCCATACCCAGTTTGAAATAGACAACAGAGGTAAGACAGAAAATCAAGCAAATTACATTGTTTAAGAAAAGGAAATAAGAAAACAGTGATTTACATCATCAGAGATGGCATCCGACGACAATTTCTCACTAATGGTGATCGGACTTTTGATATTTTACGGCTTTATCCTCATCATCTCACTTGTGGATAACATATGGGTTTTGGTGACATGTTATCGGAACTTGAGGAGAAATCGGTTTTCTCCGATGTGGTACGTGGCAAATTTAGCATCTGCTGATCTCCTTTTCACTTTTCTCACTCCTTTCCACGCCATTGATTTCAGTTGGCGTTAGGTCGGCGGTGACGTAATTTGCAAACTTCAAGGATTTCTCGCCGACGCGAGCTACAATACTTCAATCACAACCCTTCTGGTTATAGTTTACCTAGGAATCAAAGCTATCACAGATACTTTTAATTCTAGAAGCGACAACTTTTCCAACAGGGAATACATAAAACTTCTTTTAATCTGGTGTATGTGCTTGGTAATTTCCTTACCTACAGCAAGTATTAACAAGGCCGAAACCAACGAGGATGGAAAACTGATATGCGCCAACACCTCTTTGGGAAGCACTGGCAGGGAAATATACTGCACCGTACACGCAATACTTTTCTTCATAATTCCATTGATCTATATAATTGTAACGCAACGAAAGATATTCCACTCTCTTCGAGCGAACGTTATTCCGATGCCGTGCAACTCGCATATCATCAACTCAAATCAAAGACATAAAAAAGTTGCAAAGACACTTCCTGCTCTTTCTCTTGCCTTCTTTTCGAGCCAGTCTCCATTTATGATTCATAGACTGCTAATGTATTTTAACTTAGTTCAGCCGGCCTAGTCTGGGGAGCGGCTCAACTGATGATATTTCTAAACGTGGCACTCGATCCTTTACAATACGGCTATTATGGAGAAAATTTGAAGTCTATTGATGTAATGAACAGAACGGGCTGAACTTCGATTCCATCCCTGTAAAAATATCTCAGGCTTCTCACGAGGTGTACGGGTAATACCTGCCACATTCTCGTAAAACTGGACGAGGAGAAAAAAGTTACATCGGAAGAAAGCCATTCTCATCGATTCAGCTTCGCTCTTAGCAAAATATGTTTTGAGAAAACGATCGTTTAAGTGTGAAACGGCTGCTTGGAAATTTCCTCATTATCGACAGAATAGTGCAGCAAAAACCAGGGTTCAACTTAATGATTAAGTCATTGAGATCTCTTTCGTTGAAAGTTTAGAGCAATAATTCACAACCAATCCAAAATAAAGGTTCAGCAATCCACCGATTTTTGAAGCTGCTGAACATAAAATATGGTGAGGCCAAACTTTGCTTGACCCGTAAACTTTTCACACTTGTGATTCTCTCTGACGATGAAATTCTTTCCTTTCAGTTCTTATGATCCAGCAACGATGCAACAAATGCATGTATTATAATAACTTTCAGATAAGATCGTAATGTATTTTCATACGTAGATACAAATATACACTCTTGTACATTGCTGCTTCACTTTTGGAGACGTATAGTGCATATTTATTGGCAAGTGAATGTCAGTTTGGAAAGGTGGACTGTATATTTTTTTATGTTTCAGGCGAACGGCCAGGCTCCCGTGAGGGCGGTACAATGCCTGCCGGACTAAACGTCTAATTCAACCCAAGGCGGGGAGTGCAATGCCTTTTGGTTGGGTTCACCAATAAACAAGAGGGTCACCAGACACCAACTTCGTTGGAGAATCGACGGGCGGATTGTATATATGTCTGCAATCGAGTGTCGTTTTCAAAAAAGAGTATTGTGCGTATATCTGCAAAAGCCCTGGGAAAAGTATGGTACATAATTGCTATTGCGAATCATTTTGATATCTTACAGCTTGAAAAAGGCGATACCCATTTTCTAATGATGGGCAGGAACACGAAGGTAATTAGGTATGGACAACCCTACAAATGAAGGTTTACTTCGAATACAAGATTGTTTGTTTGTCCGCTTCAGCGGATTGTTTATGATCAAATGGAGTAAGCATATTGAATCTGATAAACGGTAGGTAATAAGCTCACGGATTGTCATTTGGAGTATATAGAGTGCGGCAAATATCAACTCGGTATCAATTCTTTTCTGGCTGAAAAAAAACTGTTTCACCGTTTCACTCATCAGCTCAACGCGTGTTTGCTTTCGTTGGATGACAGTGCTTCCGGTTTTTAATTTAACTCATTTTGATTTGTTGCCTTCTCATTTCCGGAAATGCAGTGACACGCAACTAATCAGGGGGTGTTTTGCTTTTCAACAGCCTCTTCGTGCAGGTGTCTTCTCGCCCTTCCCCCGCCCCCTACCCCCACCGTCCACTCTAACTCCACATCAAACACGGCCTGTCGGATAAACGATCGCGAGTTTATAACGTTGGCTGGTACTAATAAGACGCCTGCACTGCAGGCTAAGTCCTCTTCAAAGGGCAGTTTTACTTAATTTATGTTCAATGCAGCTCCTATCCAGAGTGTCGTTTCAGACCCTGTGACGCAATTAAGCCATTAAACTACACTAATTCGGAAAAAATAGAACTACTAGCATTAGAGCCATCAAACTACACTAATTTGGACCTTAAATTGAGTTAAGTTGGCCCCAAATAGTAGCCAATTTTCATCCTCTCTAAGGTATGAATTGGCTCCAGAAGGGCTTATTTGGCTTTCCAATCGCATCATTTCGACCCCTTTAAAGCCAAAACTACCCCTCGGTTTTCCAAAACAGCCCCCTTATTTCGTAGTTTTAGCTATTTCTACTTATCTTACTGGAGCCCAAAACGACTCCTTTCCAGAAGGGCCGAATGAGCCCCCAAAATAGTACTGTACTTGAACTGAACTATATAAAGAACTACATATGAACTTAGACGGTATTGCCACTTGTGCTACTTTACAAGGGCACAATAAATATTTACTAGAAAGATTTCTGAATGGCGGAGCTTTCACTGGCCCACTTTCTTATTGCCTGAACACTTTTATCCTCAAGATGTATTTTCTCGTGTCAGATCTCCATTCTGAACGGATTTCATGTCGAGAGAGAAGCGAAACTAACTTTAGAGTCTAACCACCCAACGTGGGAAGCTAAATATGCCCGCTCGAAGCGGATTATAGGATAATAATAACGTTGTATGTGGTCCTTCCTCGTGGGTAAAAAAATGAATTCACGCCCTTTTTTAAGTGTTTATCGATTACAACAGGTATGCTGCTCCATTTAACTATAATAAAATTGTACCGACGGAGAAGCACGTTGGCCTCTTTATATTCCAATCCTTAATTTAACCTTAATTCAAGCATCTTCCTTCGTAACTGTCCACAATAATTGATCCACAGACTGTTTCGCTTTTTATATGTGACGACAGGTTACAACACAATAAATTTAAGCGGAATTACTAATAAAAAACGCTGCGTTATGAGTCACTCCCTGCAAACGCCCTTCAAAATTGTTATCAAAAGAGGAACACTGAGTGAGAACTGAACCGCATTGGCCTTAGTTCACCTAGAAGGTATAGCAGTCTTATCCATTAATCATTGAGCTCAAAATGAAGAACTATACGGGGTTTTTTTCTGTTATTAAAGATTTATTATTTTATGAAAACCCTTAGCAATTTGTCATAGATTTGGTGGGAAACTACAGCCTTATGGAACCATTCTGCTATCAAATGGAATTCTTCTTGAGATCGGATTTTAAAACCGCTGAAGTAGTTGAAAGAAAAGAATTTTCATCAGATTGAATTTGTAATGCTTTTCCTTTCAAATAAAGTAACAAATATTTTGTTATGCAAAGATGAATACTCGGGCGTAAAACGTTAATGAAAGTTGATTTTCATTCCTTTTTCAGTAACAAGAAAATGACAGATGCATCATTCTGTTTATATTTAAGTATCTAGCAGCCAAGATATGGAAATATAAAAATTGGTACAAACACATTTTTAATTTTCATAAAGAGTTGATGTCAACTTTTCAGTGGTATCCGACAGATTTTATTTAACAAATAGAGAAGCCTTGACTGTGCTCTGTTCTATTTTAAAGCACGCAGGAAGCGGCTAGAGCACGAAAGAAGTGTGGAGCACGCCTAGAGCACGAAAAACGTGTAAGAAATTTCACTCCCTACTTCTTGAGTGCTCTAGCCGCTTCCTAAGTGCTTTACAATAGAACAGAGCACAGTCAAGGGTTCTCTGTTTGTTTTATAATAAAGAATCCATTAAATTCCCCAAAAACTACTTTCAATTTTCAAAACAAATTTTATTTCCAAAGCGAACAACAGTGTCGTCAGTATGCTCTATACTCTCATAAAGCACGCTACAGTAAGCCAATCAGAATACCTGTTAGAATGGTTCAAATAATCTGATTGGTTGTACAAGACTAAAGCTGTCAAAAATGTCAACCCATCAAAGTTCAAAAACCATCAAAGTTTATATTCTGCAATAGTTTACAAACTAAAATAGTTCGGCATGTCGAATTTAACACTTTCACCTAAAGTTTTTAGTTTCTAATACAGAATCTGAAAGTGGAATATTCAGTGAAATTCGGCCCAATCGTGGCTCACAAAAATATGCAAGTTGTTTCACATGACAAGTAGAAAACAAACTCTTCAAGGCGAGTGTATCATGAATGAACAACAGCCGAATTCACCAGGACATGAAAATCGCTCAGAATGACAGCGCCGTAAAACTCGGCTGCAGTGACTGATATGGCCTTCCACTCAACGCATCGGAAAGGTAATCAGAGTAAGCTCTTATTTTTGTACTCGGAGGATAGTCGATTTAGTTCCTGAGGCTTGCTCCACTGCGATGACCGAAGATCGCCATGATGAGCTAGCTGCGATAGACCTCAGCATGATCGCAGTCGCTCTGACACCGTCATGATTAGTATAAATTTTAATAGTTATGCCAGGTTATATTTTTCATCATTCCTGTTTTTTCTGTTTTTTTTTTCTTTGAAAACGAAACTTTATATACTATACAAGTGTTAGCTGTGTTTGATTTTTATTATCGTATGTAAACTTTGAGCGTGAAAATCGTTAAAACTCGGACTTTCTATTTTGTTTTATCTTTGAGGATTTTTGTCTCTGTTCACGTTACAGTTACGTAAATTAATGTGCCTGGCATTTTTGCAAACCTTTGCTCGCTTGTTCCGAAATTTCAATTTCAATTAACGAAAGAAAAGCTAAAAAGAAGTCCCGGAAAAGGTCGGACATAGTACAGTTTGGCAGATGGCGTGACAGCTTTAGCTCAGTTTTACGCTCTATACTCTCGTAGAGCACGCTTTTTCAACCAATGACAGTACGTGTTACATTTGAACTTTATTATAATTTAATCTAAAATTAGCTCTTGGTGATTAAAGTAACGCTTTTTAAATCAGTCAGAAAAACACCGTTGAACATTTGTGTATTTCTTAAGTCATTTCGAATGACATCAAATAAAATTTCTTCTGGAAACTAGAAGTTTAATAATTTATAGGCGGTATTTGGGTCTACATAGTAATACAAGTGCCTCTAATAATTTGTAAGGCGCTTTCAAACATAACATTTAGTATGCAATGATATATTCTTACGCTCTTCATATACATTTATGTACCCTGAGTATGCAGCTGTCGTTGGATAAAAAAAAAACGTGGTAAACTACTAAGAGTAGAAATAAACGCATTTGAAGCCGGGGAAAGAAAATAGAAAAGCCGAAAGCAGTCTTAGCATTTTAAGTACTACCGAGAAGAGGCCTACAGTTGCGTTACACAACGTTACTATCGTAGACTCAATTGTGTTGTAAATCTACTTTCCTTAGTAAAAGCAAATTAACTGACCGCGAGTGTTGTATGGTAAATTTACTATCTTACTCATTGAATGAAGGAAAGATGAGTTAGAGCAATGAAAGGAGTCACTTGATCAATTAATAACTCTACAATGCACACGACAACACGCCGGATAAGCCGGAAATCAAAGGGCAGGTGTTGATCGGCTTTTGCGACTCCTGCCATTCGCTTGCCCTTTTAAATCTTCTGACCTGAAAGCTTTGCTATTATAAGGATATCTTTTATGACTTTTGTTTGCGATGTAATAAGAAAGGTTAATTTAAGGTGTCATTTCTCCATCTCTATATTCTTGGTCTTCTTGAGGTTTGGCAAAGCCGGAAGTGTTACAAAAGGAAATATTTTCATTTGTGCGCGCTATTTTTTTTCCAGGTAAACTGTCTCTCCCGCATAGTAACCACAGAGATACGCTTCTCAAAATCTTATTCTAGGTATTCTTTATTCTTTAAGCTTATTTGAACCTCTGTGCGTTTTTTATTAAACGTTGAGCGTGACGAATTTGGTCTTAGGAGGCGTAAGGCTTCTCCTTTCGCGAATCCCGTGTTTACGCTTAAGTGTATGATATGAAAAGTGGTTCGTGTGTTAGAAGGTCGCTGTCTCTTTGTAATATAATGCATTTGCAAGTCAAGGGTCGATTCCCTGTTAAATAACTCGCGAATTTGATATTATTCACAGTGTAACTGCTGCCAAATGATTAGATTCTTGGGCAAGGCTGCAGTTTCGATTCTTTCAGAATCTCTTCAGTTGCCTCCTAAAAACAAATTTGTCACGGAAGAATAACAGGAGTCGCGCAGGCCCGCAAACCCTTTTTTAATTTTCGAAGGAACGGCAAGAGACAGTGAATCCCCGTTACATTCCACGTTTATTCACGCTATCTCGCTGCCACTAGAGATGTTCACTCGACTGCGACAGGATGCAAATGACTCGCTTTTCGTTTTACGACCATGATGCAACGCAATCAGAGTCAGCACACCACCTGGCGCTGGAGAGACTTCGCTTGAAATTAATTGATGACATCCAATCTACATGTCAGCAAAACACATAAAACTTTCTAAATTATCCTGTTGTAACAGCTGCCCTAGCTGTTCCTAGTCACCTTTTTATACTTGAAAGGCTGGTAAGGAGACTAAAGCTCTAATCGTGGTGGTAAGAAATACGGATACATCGGTTATGTACATGATAGACTTGTAGGTATTCATTGCATTGATGATATTTTCCTAGTAGTTAAAAGAAAAATTTCCTTTTCCAGACACGGCAGAATATTTCTGCCACAACTAAGGCCAGCACATGATGTTTTTCTGTATAATTCCTTATCCTCTTTGAATTGCAAATCCAAGTCTATTTTCCTGCTTTTTTTTCAGGAACAAAAAGACTAAGCGAATTTTAATAAGCTTACAGCTTGTAATACAAACGGGTCTGGTTGAAAAAGAAGGAGATTCAGAACGGCCGCTGGCGATCGTAGAAACACACACTGACAGTGGGAAAGGCAGGAAACGCTTTTTAGACACAACATTTGAAGAGGTCACTACACATGGCAATGAGCGGAAGATTTCCCATAGCATTAATTGCCACATTCACATGTATTTATTTCCTAATCTTCCTGTCATCAATCTTGGGCAACTCATCTGTTCTTTGGCTGTGTTACAAACTAAAACGACAACGAGATTCTTCTTTGACGTGTTGCATCGCCAACTTAGCAATTGCAGACGTAGCATTTATGGTACTATCCATTTTTGACTTTATAGCATTCGTGTGGACCTGGGTAGGCGGCGAGATATCCTGTAAACTACAAGGCTTTTCCATTGAAGCGTGTTATTCCACATCCTTAATGACTCTTGCTCTTATTAGTTTTGAGCGTCTGAAGGCTGTGGTAGACCCCTTAAGTGTCAGACTCATCACAAGGGAAAATATGCGACGAAAGTTAATCGCTGTTTGGTCAGTTAGCGCAGTCGTCGCTTCGCCTTTGCTTTATGCTTATCAAACCCAAATAGATGACACAGGAACCGTCTCCTGCACGAATATCATGTTCGGGGATATGGCGCGACAGATCTATTATACTATTCACGCATTTTGTTTTTTCCTTGTACCTCTTGTCTACATGATAGTTGTTCAGAAGAGAATATTTCTATCCTTACGCTCAAGCGCTGCTTCAAATACATCAAACACCATAGCTTCCGTACGTTGTAAGCGGCATTACAAAGTGGCCAAGGTCTTGGCAGCACTTACAATAGCGTTTCTTATATGTTGGTCACCTTTCATGGTGACACGCACGATGATGTACTTCCATCTCACTAATGGTGGTTATGTATGGCGAGCGTCTCAATTATTAATTCTGTTAAATACGGTCTTAGATCCAATATTATACGGAGTCAACGGAGAAGCTATGAGGCAGTATGCTCGAAGTTTATTCAAGAAAACAGGACAGCCCCCGTTTCCTCGTGTGGACCCTCCCCGTGACAGACAAGAAAGAGTGCAAGTACCGGATTCACAAGCCATTGAACTTGATTTTATGAAGTGAAATAAACCGAAATAATTTAGTGAGGTGTCGGCTTTTTAACCCCTTACCCACTAACATCAGTATGTATATTCTCCAAACTGTTCTCCATTCATCTCCTGGCGTGCCGACGGGGAGAATTTGTTTAGCAATCATGAGCTTATTGATTTGCTTATTTTTATTTAACTTTATTTAAACACGGATAAAACATCAGGGCCCAGTTGTTCAAAGGCTGATTAGCACTAAACCGGGGTTAAATTGTAATCCAGCTTTCTTTATTTCTTTGTTCAAAAGTATTTTAGGGAAAATTTTCACTATTCTTTTTAGAACATCCAATGATCAAATTGCAAGCAAAAATATTTGAACTATATTTTCTCTCAAAGTTTTCAGACCTAAAATCAAATTTCACACTAACCCTGGGTTATCTTAACCCATCTTTGAACAACCGGGGCCAGAACTTTAAGTAATTACTAAAATTACATTAATTACATTGTTAAGATACTAATCTACTGCTAATTGTTTACTACTAATTAAATCTAATAACAACAAAATAAAAACAATAACGAAGTGCCTGTTTTCCATGAATGATGTGTGATTAATTAACTTATTTATTATCAAAAAGGAACCGCTGCAGTCGAATTAAAAACTAGCAGTAGTTTGTGCTTGCCGCAGATTGGTAGATAAACTGTTCCACATCACCGCACCATTATAGCTGAAACTGTTTTTAAGAACATTGGTGCGGGAGAGTGGGACAGTTAGTTTGCCCCCACAATTCCTGAGAGAATAGGTAGATATTGCACTCCGATCAGTAAAGATTGATTTTAGATAATCAGGGGCGAGACCATTAAGAGATTTATAGACCATAGAGGCTGTTTTTAATTCTCGTTGAAGATTAAGTTTTTTCCAGCCTAGTCTAACGAGAGATCATCCACATTGGCATCATATGAAGAAGAGGTCAAAATACGCGCAGTGCGATTCTGTAGTTTTTGTAGTTTAATGGAAAGAGATTTATTGCAATTCCCCCATACGACACTACAGTAATCGAAATGAGGTTGAACTAAGGCATTATAGATGCATAGAAGCGTTTCAAAAGGAACAAAAGATCATTTTCTCTTCAAGATGCTTCTTTAGCTGGTGATTATTTCCTTTACTCCTGAGACCTTAAAGTTTGATTCGAAGGTGATGTTAAATGAGACATCGGATGCCAGTCACTCTTAAAGATCATAGGACTAAAATGGTCATAATCCAGGAAATCATGAACCATGCTTTGCTGCCAGATTTTTCGTTCGTTAGTTAGAAGTAAAGAGTTCTTTTTAGGAACACAACTAAATGAAATAAAAGTCTATGGAATTTTTTTCCCTTAGGGAGTTATTTAGGGTTGTGTTTGCTTCTTGTGTGACGATTTTTAGTGTTTGGCATTTTGCTCCATGATGAATTTCGTAAATTCGAAGTATGCCTATTTTTGCTGGGAAAAAAAAGAACAATTATAGCACGTGAAAACTTAATTTGACATGGTGTAACATCACCAAAACAAAGTTTCTGTCAACACTGATGACGTATAATTTTGACATCTTGTGAAGGACATGTCAAAATACGAAATTATATTAAGAGTCAGCATGTGTTCTTCGACTGCATGCATGCATCGAGGCATTTCCACAAGCAATGGTTGTGAGACTCCGCATAACTACTCTTTCAAACCAAAATGACATTTTAAAGTAACTTTTTAGTTCCAAGAAGAATGCGTGTCACAAACATTTATGAAATCTATCTTTTCACGGCTTCTTATATCGTCAGTTGGAACCACAACGCGCTCTCTCATTGACCGATAGGTGTGATAGGAGTATTTATCATTCAACTTCACAAAGTAGAGTACAATAACGCGCGAATAGAGTACAAATATCTTTCGATATTGTATTTATTTTACAAAGGAATAATAACTAAGATTAATGGCAGCATTTCCTGCTTGATATAGTGCTGTTAATAGTCTCATTAATGTGAATGAGACATGACAGCTCGTTTCACCTAGAATATAAGTAGAGTGCTGCCTCAAATTACTTGGAGACCACGAACCATCGTTATCTTCTCAGCCTTGAACACCACATGATCAGCGCTGGGGCGAGACGGTAAATAACAAGTAGTCAAACGTTCACATTATTGATTATAATGTGAACGTTTGACTGCTAGGGATTTCCTTTCGGAGGCTATGAACTAACACGGCTTATTTCCCAAAAAACAAAACGTTACCTTGTTGAACAGAGCAGAAAAATTAATTAATTTGAGAAACTAGAGGGTAAGCTTCAATCTTGATCGCGGTTTATCCATGATATTAGCCATAACCTTGATATTTAACAATATAAAGTGACAAATTTGCAAGGATAAACTGACACAGCGACCAGATTAGCAAACTCAAGAACAATGCCACTTTGTTATTTCTGCAGTATACTTTACCGGCACAACCGAGTTGAAAGAAACAGCAGAGGTTCGGTAGAAAATCAAGCAAATTAGATTGATTAGGAAAAGGAAATAAGAAAATACTGAACTACGCCAACGGAGATGGCATCCAACGACTATTTCTCTCTAATGGAGATCGGATTTTTGATATTTTACGGCTTTATTCTCATCATCTTACTTGTGGGCAACATATGGGCTTTTTCTTTTTTTCAAAGGGCACGGTAACGAATCTTGCAATCTGATTGGTTCTTTACGCGGTCAGTATTTTCCTATCTGTGCCCACGGGCAACGGTAACGCTTTCGTGAGTCGCCGAGTACATCCCTACTTTCGTTGCCATTTTTCATAAGTATATCTCGTTTTTCCGGCTGGAAATATTGGTTTCAGAATGAATTTGTACAAGCAATAATGTCATACTTTGGTTGACGAGCGGCCTAAAAACCGTCTGCAATTAATTTTAATCGTTCACAAGAAGTACCTAGAAAGTTAAACGTGAGGTATTTGGTTACAGTTGAACTTATCGATGGAACTTTCATTCATTTAATATCTGAATTTTCTCAAAAAAATTTGTTCGTAGTGAAAGGACGAGCGAAGTTTTCATTTCAGTTCTACAACAAATATACGCTCTCGGCGAGACCAAGTCCGTTCAATTTACTGTACAGATGTCCAAATCTCTACCGTAAACTGCACAACAGAAACTAAAGGAATTCAATGAGAAAAGGCCGCATTAAATACCCTTGTGTCTCGTTGGAGTGTATCAAGACCTCGGTAACAGTTTTTCACCGTACGAACCTCCAAGCCGGCAAACAACATATATTGGTGACATGTTATCGAAACTTGTACCGAAATCGGTTTTCTCCGATGTGGTACGTGGCAAATTTAACATCTGCGGATCTCCTTTTCACTTTTCTCACTCCTTTCTAGGCCATTAATTTTAGTTGGTGTTGGGTCAGCGGTGACGTAATTTGCAAACTTCACGGATTTCTCGTCGACACGAGCTACAATACTTCAATCACAACCCTTGTGGTTATATCTTACCTAAGACTCAAAGCTATCACAGATCCTTTTAATTCTAGAAGCGACAACTTTTCCAACAGGGAATACATGAAACTTGTTTTAACCTGGTGTATGTGCTTGGTAATTTCCTTACCCACAGCAAGTATTAACAAGGTCGAAACCAACGAGGATGGAAAACTGATTTGCGCCAACACCTCTTGGCCATGAGGAAGCACTGACAGGGAAATATACTACACCGTACACGCAATACTTTTCTTAATAATTCCATTGATCTATATGATTGTAACGCAACGAAAGATATTCCGCTCTCTTCAAGCGAACGTTATTCCAATGTGCATCTCGCGTATCATCAACTCAAATCAAAGACATAAGAAAGTTGCAAAGACACTTCCAGCTCTATCTCTTGCCTTCTTTTCGAGCCAGTCTCCGTTTATGATTCCTAGACTGCGGATGTATTTTAACTTAGTTTCACCCGGCCAAGTCTGGAGAGCGGCTCAACTGATGATGTTTCTGAACGTGGCACTCGATCCTTTATAATACGGCCATTATGGAGAAAATTTGAAGTCTAAGGTGCGACGATTCCTTCGATGCAATCAACAGAACGGTTGAACTCCGATTCCATCCCAGTAAAAACATCTCAGGCTTCTCACGATGTGTATGGGTAACACCTATCCCATTCTTGTGAAACTGAACGAGGAGACAAAAGTTACATCGGAAGAAAACCATTACCATCGATTCGGCTTTGCTTTCAGGAAAATATGTTTTTGGATAATAATCGTGTAAGAGTGAAATGCCTTCTTCGAAATTTCTCATTATCGACAAAATGGTACTGCAAAATTTGGGTTCAACTTAACGATTAAGTCATTGAGATTCCTTTAATTGAAAGTTTGGAGAAACAACCCTTCACCAATCCACAATATAGGTTCAACATACTACCCGTTTTTGAAGCATTTGAAAAGAAAATATGGTGAGGCCCAATTTGGCTTTACACCCGTGAACTTTTTACACTTGTGATTCTCTCTGACGATGACATTCTTTCCTTTCAGCTCTTATCATCCAGAAACAGTGCAACAAATGTGTTTGCAAGCATCCTGTTGTATTATAACTTTCAGATAATATCGTAATGCATATTCATATGTAAATACAAATATACACACTTGCACATTGCCGCTTCACTTTTGGAGAAGTATATTGCATATGTATTAGCAGGCGAATGTCAGTTTGGAAAGGTAGATTGTATATATATGTCTGCAATTAAGGGCCTTTTTCAAGAAGGTGCCTTGTACGTATATCTGCAAAAGCCCTGGAAAATAGTATAGTACCTTTCAGACTGATGTTTCGTATTTCATAGTTGCTATCGCGAATCCTTTTGATATCTTACAGCTTGAAAAAGGCGATGCCGATTTTCTAAGGAAGGGCTGGAACACGAAGGTAATTGAGTATGGACAACTCTACAAGTGTAGGTTTACTTCGAATTAAAGATTGATAGATCAGTGTAGAACAAAGGGACAGATGTAATAATATGTCTGCAACAAAAGTATGGAGTCAGTTTTGAAATTGATATCAAGAAATTAAACGTTCATTTGCATTTGCATTTTCACTTAAGTGTCTCTCGGAATTTAATTTGTCTCGCCCCATTAAAATCGGAAGAGAAAGAAGCAATTTCTACACTGGTTCTTCAAGTA